CTTATTAAGATTTAAAGCTATGGTGCGTTTTGATTCAATGCTGAGTACAGTCAAACTTGACAGGCTCTTCTTTTTCATAGTAGACCGCAAACAGTTGCGGCGCCAGAGTATTTGTGTTGGGTAATCTATGGTAGGGCTAACCCATACAGTGGTGGGGCTCAAGTCAGTATTTGCAATGTAATTACATACAGGCTCCCCTTGACAGTGAAACGCCACGCGTGAGGTTTATATTATTTCCCTGTCTCAATCCAAATTGAACTGTATGAAATAAAAAGGCACATTTGTCTTGTAGTAAATAAAAAGGGCGACCTGGAGCCAATCCTGCAATTTCCCCACAGGTGAAAGAGTTGAAAACCCAACCCCTGCAGGGGGGTCTGGGGGGATTCTCCCCCAGGAGATTTTTTGAAATACTAACATCAAATACACATTCTGGTGCTCTCTTAAGAAGAAACATAAATAAATATATATTACTACACGACGTATTAAAAAAATGAATGTCATTTTAGTTTTTGTTACTTTGTTCTGAAAGCTGAACCTGCTGCTCCTCACAGAGAGGAGAGGGAAGTAGGCTGTGTGAATTACTTTACATTGTGGATAAGGGTGATAGCCCCCATTGTTCTGTGTGTCAAAATGAAAGACAGCCCACACACCTATCAATCATCAAACCGTGGGGTCTTATAGTTGTACCGATGTATATAGAGGTAGGCCTACTACAGCAAAAGTATTCTCCGTCGGGACTTCCTGCAACAACACCACGCCGTTATCGTGATTCTGATTGGCCAGAAGATATTATCAAAGATTTTCTATTGAGAAGACGATCACTACGTGACAAAAGTTTTCAAAACCGTTTCTAGTCTTCGGTATTTCCAGACAAGTGGCTACTGAAATCAATCTTACTAACTGCTGTCTGTGCAATTTACTCCGCGCGAGTTGGCAGACTTTATTTTGCTTACTTTAACATCATTTTTCATGGTGGGGCTAAGCCATTTATTAGTATGGCTGTAGCCTACCCCAGCCATACCCTGACCGCAAATACCTCATTCCTTCTGTCTACTTGTATCCGAAATGCTTCTCGTTTTGCGCTGTCCTCCCGTTCAAATGAAATCGCCGCCAATCATATTTCCAAGCTCGCGCCAGGGGGGGGAGGGGTTACAAGCTTCGCGTCTTGTGCTGCATTCACTTGCACTCGGACATTAGAGATTTTCTCTCATAAATGTCCGATGAGCCACAACTTTTCTTTCAAAACAAAGCTGCCAAATGGGGTGGCAGCTGGGGTGGCAAGGCATTTTTCTGAGGTGGCAGCTGCCACCCCGTGCCACCCCGTAGAACCGCCACTGCCACCACCCCACCTTCTTCTCTCCCCTCAGTATCTCCTCTTGTCCTCTTCTCTTTCCTTAGCGTCTCACATACTGATCAGTGTTTCTACCCCTGTAGTCTATTCTTATGTGTGAGTGGGTGGGAGAATACCTCACTCCTCCTACTGGGCTTAATGTGGTGCCAGTCAAATCCCATTCTCTGCACCTTTTTAAGTCATTTTTATTAGAAGAGCTGGCAAAGGAATATTACATAAGATCAGCTGGTGGCAGTCTGTCTCTGTGAAACCTATCTCTCTTTCTAGAGCATGTGTGTTTTAACACACACTCTTGCTCTCAGGCTGTTATGTACATACATATCCATGCAGATGCACGCCAACAGTACACACACCCACACATGTACAAACACAGACGCACTTAAGTCTATTATATAACGCCATAGGTTTGTTTGGCTCACAGTGTTCTCATGGCATTGCGGCAGATGATTTTCTCTCTCCCCTGACCTGATGGAAATACAGACAAACTGAAAGTCTCAGTTTTACATGATGGCATGAACACACACACATATTAATAAGACTATACTCCCAGTTGTGTCCTTGATAGACAGCAGTGACTCACTCCTGCATCAACAGTGTGCTTGGAGTGGGTGAGAATTGAAATGCCAGTAACTGCTCATTTAGTGACTGCTATCCCCAAGCATCCCTAAGCAGACAGCAGTGCTGCTTGAAACACTTTACACCGTCAAGTACGAAACAGAGAGCAGCAGCCATTCTGATGAAATGATTAATATTAAACCTCCACACCTGCCTCTAATTACCAATCCCTGTCTGTTTACTGTCCTCCTGCACACTGTCTTTAGCTTCGTAATGCTCCCTTCACGTCAATGCAAATCCTCCTTGCTGTTGTCGGTGCCAACATGCTGTTGCCGCCGCCTCTCTGACCTTCTGAGTCAGCTTTAATTCAGCCCTTCTCTGCCTTTCCCCTTACTGCTGCTTCTCTCAAATCCCATCTCTCTCTCTCTCCCCCCAGGAGAAGAACTTGGAGTGGTTCCCCCGCATGAGAGCCATTTCTCTGGTGAGCAGCGAAGGAGACAACGAGCAGAATGAGATGCGCTCTCTGCAGGACAAACTGGACGGCACTGTCACTCTGGTGTCTCAGCTGTCTGGCCAGCTGGCTGAGCTAAAGGAGCAGGTACAGTGCCACTTCAGTACACCTTTTCAAGCTGTGGGGGAAAAAGTCTTCCTGTCTCATAGTAACACAATGTTTTCCACGTGCTATCTGACCTTGAAACACCTGCAGGGCAAGAGATCACATTTGAAGAGACGTGCAATGAATATCTTTACTTAGCTCAGTAACCTAGATGGATAATATCCGACCCTTGATGCTCCTGAATGCAGCACGATAGGTGATTATCACGCCAGAGATCAACGCCACTGATTGTCGCCACTGAGCCTCTGGCTGTTGGGATGACTAGCTCTGCTGCTGCAGTGTGACTGCTCACTCCCATCACCTGCCTCCCCTGCATGTGATTCCAGTCACAGGCCTGCTCTTGTTCCTCTCCTTCCAGATGTGTGAGAACAGCTCCTACTGGGGAAGGATCACACTCCAATAAACAAAATAACAACCTCTGTTGGCCTCAGCAGGCAGCTCAGTCAGTAACACCTCGCTGCTGCGTGGGATCCTCGGGTTGCTCTTGTAACAACTAAGTATGTGTGCAGATGAAGTGCCCTTGAGCAAGACACTGACACCTTATCTTAATCTGTAGCTTCTGCAGCCCATTTATTATTCCAACCTTGCTTTAGCGGTGTTTACTGACCAATATGTAGTCATGGGTTTAGCAAGGAAGGCACTCCTCCTCTTTGGTTAACACAAGTTTTCAGAGGTGAGAGAGAGTCTGCAGGCCAAACCGCTGCTCTGCAGTCACAAGGCGAGGCCTGAAGGTCTCACACCAGCTCAACTCAAACTGTTTCTGACTGGGAGGAAAGTACTCCTGCAGCTCCTCCCTCATTACAACCTCTGCTGACCTCAGGTCTTTACACTCTCACAGCTCAGAATGTGAATGTGCTGCTTTTTGATTGTGTGGGTTTAAGGGTTCTGCACAGCATGATGGATTCACTTGCATTTTAAGTTTAGGGTGGACAAAATCAGTGGCCTTCATTTATGATGTCAGCACTGTAACTGCCGCAAATGCGATGAATGTGAGATACCAGCCGCTTATGATTTGTGAAACTTCCTCACAACACTTATACAGCAGCCAACAGTGTCCTCTTATTTAGTTTAAAAAAGGACATTAGTTTCCAGTCCAACAGTGATTGAATGAAGCAATTAATGAACCACCATGGAGAGGAAATATCTCTTCTATATTAGTCCAATGTTAAAAAGGTTATTTGAAATGAATGGTTAAATCCTCACAAAGTAATTGTTTGCAGTGTTTGAAATTACTGTGCGACTCTTTTTGCCATCCAATAATTTTTGTAACACTAATTGAGTTTTAGTTCTTTATTTAATGAGCCAAATATGATTTTTGTATTGTCTAACTGAATTATTCTCATTTTACCTGCACTCCTAGCTCACACAGATAAATGCTCCCCCTGGAATGTAATAATGATGTGTGAACATAGTGGGAACATTGTGTTTTGCATAATAAAGTGCCCACTTGAACAAAAATAACACAAATACAGGTTTGCATATCATGTGTAGGCAACATGCAGAGTAAAAGCCTCTCAAGGTTGTTGTTTTTTCATCTCTCCATAGATGACAGAACAGAGGAAGAACAAGCAGAGGCTCGGGTTCCTGGGTCCTCTTCAGCCCAACCATCACACAAATGCCCACTGAGGGGCTCAAGGCTCAAACAGGACACACACTTCAGCCTAAAGAACAATACATGTGCTCAGATTATTGATGAGAAAAAGCAATGGGGCCAGAAGTGTTGACACATCATTTTTGACATAGTGTTTTTTCTATGAAACAATGACTGTCTTATGGGATACAAACTGTGCCTTATGTGCTCACTCTGCTGCTAGCAGCGGGCTTTACTGGCCGTGTGTACACACCCTCGTACAGAGGAGCTCTGTCAATGATTGGCCAGCCGCAGCACACATCTGCCAGTGCTGTGTTATTGTGCCAGACAGAGGTCGAGGGAAATGTTAAGGTAAGGTTAATGGTTAAGTGCTGTTAGGTCTGCGGACGATCACATCTCATTCCTCGACTGTCCACAGTGCTGATGTGTCAGAAAGGGGACAGATAGGCCGCACCCTCTGTGATTGGAGGTGTTTGAGGAACTGCTTTGTTATGCCGTCAGGGGAAGAGTGTGTGTGCAAACATTAAGTATTCTTCCCTTTACCTTTTTAGTTTTCTGATGGTATTTATGAGAACATTTACGGTTCATTACTGGAGTATTATTTTTGCCTTTTGGAAAAAGTATGATGCTGCCTCACTCATTAACTTTTCTTAACAGTAAATTGCAACTGCTGAAAGTGCACTTTTTAAAGAAGAAAAGTGCAAAAATTTAAGCCTTTAACTGGAACTTTTGGTTAGTTGGGTTGGGGTATTTTTTGCATGCTCTGTTCTGTGGTAAAAATGCATTTGCTGCACATTTCAGTTGCCTTGTTTTTAAATAGATTTCTACAGAGTATATCAATAACTTAATGTGAATTAAAAATAATTATTACCTTTGAAGAACTTACTTGAAAATTATTTTTTAAATCTTATATTGGTACATAATGTAGTACTGACTGAAGATGGGGAGCTTACAGTTCTTTGTTACAAATGAACATACTTATTTCTAAGAGATGTCAGCTAATACTGTAATATTTACTGGATTTGCTCCTGTGTTCGTCTTCTACTTTTTCTTAAAACTTTAATTTTTTAGTGTAAATCATGCTCACAGGTGTCTTGGACTGCAACTGATTGTTACGTCTGAACTTGTTTTTTTAACTGGCACTAACTAATGGCAGATATAAGTGAGCTCTCGATGTTGACTGTGCTACGACACTTTTGGTTTAAACAAGTGTATAGAAAAATGTATTTTATGTGTTTGGATGTTGTAATAAATTTGTAACAAAATGATTCAAAGTGCTTTGAGTCAGCATATTTTCTAACAGAGTTGTGCCTCAGTCCTGCTTGTTGTTGAGGATGAATGGACGCTCCCCTTGACCCCCGTTGCACCCACCCACACACTTGTCCATAAAGGCAGCGCAGGACAGAGTTAAAGGCTGTCCTCATTCAGACAGGATCAGGTTTCAGCGAATGCAGCCAGGGTAGTCATCTAATATTAAAGTTATCAGATTCTCTGCACATGCCGTCACTGTGCTGCTTTTGTTAAGCTGCTCTTGGCATTTACTTGCAGTTAATTAACAGCAGATATGATGGACAGAGAAACCCGACTCTGGAATTTAACCTTTGTTTTTTGATCAGTCTACTTCACAAGCTTTGTCGTTATCCAAGTGTAACATTGTTTTTCACTTGAATTAAAGTAATCTTTATACAGAAATAAGAGATTGTGTATGTTTGACAGCTATAGCCACGGCTAAATGTACTTGATTATGGCTAACACAGATAGCCATGGTAGTTAAATTAAACATCTAGCTTCAGCTGAGCAACCAAACATATGATGTTAACAAAGAATTATTGTTACATTCTCTGCTTTATTATATTAAATAAAGTCAACTATTAGGGGAGAAGGGGGTAGGTTGAGCCAGTGGGTAAATTGAACCACCCCCTGTAACCAGGCAACGCCTTATAGTTGTAATCAAGTGAACAGAAATTATGCAAGCTCCACCCATTTCTCATTGCCTGTGAAAGAGAGATACTCATTGTGGTCTGGTAAGTAAACATTTTTACAAAAAAACGTTTTTTGCTTGTCAAAGTACATTTTCTAGATGTCAGCTATGTCGGCTGTCATGTAAAAAAAAGAGTATCCAGGTTTAAACACATTTTCTATATGTTGATGTGTTGGCAGCGTATTAAACCATGTGAGTCATTAAGCTAAAGATGACTCTGAATTG